TGAAACTTTGTAAGAATCCTCACATATCCATAGGGCTGGGAAAACTGTTGTTTATATGAAGGAAGCATGGCATTCATGTCTATGCAGTCATCTAAATTTCTAACCTGTGACTGGGATGGGCACGTATCACACTAAGTAGAAAGAAAACAGAAACACATAACCCATATATTTAGGGTCTGAAGAATGTGGTCAAGCACGGGAAGAATTGCTTAATGGAAAAAGCAGAAATTCAATAAAAAAAAATAAAAAATCGAAAACACAGCTCACTTATTTATCATTATATTGTTTTCTTTTTATTACTTTACTTCACAGTTAGCCCACAAAATGCCTTTAGATGATTGTACCTTAGCAGAGCAATTATTTACAGGGTGGGAGGCTATCAGGGAGGTGTGGATGTGATTGAGGGCCAGGGAGCAAAGGATTATAGAAACAGAGAGGTGGAGAGCGCCACCTTGAACTTCTGCTAGAATGGACTATATTATAGGTAACCGAGTCACAGAACAAAGCCTCTGGGGACCCCACCTTTCAATTGAACAGAAGAGTAATTAGTGTGATCTACTCACCCCCATGGCAGGCAGAATTATTTGGAAAAAACTGCACTAACACCACCCATATGCCCCATTCCACCCAGATGGTCAGACAGAGGTGCCAGATGAAAGGGTCTTGAAGTTCTGCCAGAATCCCTTCAGAGGGTTGTTGCTGAAACCTACTTGTGCGATTTCAGGGCTTTAAACCACTTGGGCACTCTCCTCTCCAACCACCTAATTTTTTTAAAAATGAGAAAACCGGAACTTTCCAGAGGTCAAAGACTCGGGGTCACATGTAGGAAACAGAATGCGGGTTTTGGATTTTCAGTGTGATTTTCTTTCAGTTAACAATGCTGTCGTCAGTTCTAGATTCTTCCAGGTCTATGGATATTTTTGTTTCCTGTGATTTGAGTGTTTTTCACTATCAGTGAGAAGTGGAGTGCTTCTCAACTCTACAGTGGAAGTGTCTTTGTTACAAGGGTGCAGTCAGGAAAACAAAAAGCGTCTCTTGGCAAATTGGAAAGCGTATGTGTGCTGGAAACACCCCCAGCGTTCATTTGTGAGCGTGCGCCTATGTTTTAGGACCCCAGAAATAGAAAAACATGCGGACAATGGGCTGCTCCCTGATCTACAGGGTAGTAGGTATTTGTGGATGAAGACATCCAGAGTCCTAACGACACAGCTACCTTTCCCCCGTAGTTTCTCATATGTGCAGTAACAGTGCTGGTGTTCCGTCACTGCCGTAAGAACCCCAGGTCAGTCTCTGTGAGAGACACACATCTGAGCCTTCCAATTTAGCAACGTCCTGCTGGACATAGGGAAACCTGTCATCACAGACTGAAAGGGCAGGGATAACATTTTTGTCATATCAGAATCTTAAAACATGGAATCTGAAGACAAACTGGCAAACTGTATGCACGCTGGTACCCTGAACAGTGCGAAAGCCTCGCTAAAGGAGGGGAGCAAGACTCAAGTCTTGTAGGCAGCATGATCCCGCAGCTGATCCTTCTGGTCCCAATGGAAGAATAGACCTTGGGAAAAAAGCCAGCACCTCTGCCCAGAACATTCTTCTTTACAGGATACTACCACATCCATGAGGAAACTGGGAATAGGTCGCATTTTCTATGTCCGGCTATAGTCACTTACATGGCTAACAAAGTGCAAATTTGTTTTGTTCAAACTGAACCAGGTGTACCTGTTGCTAAGTAGAAAAGAATCCAAAATGCCTAATATCACACACACACACACACACACACACACACACACTCACATACACACACAGAAAGAGGGGGGGGGAGGGAGAGACACAGAGAGAGAGAATCACCTACTCCTAGCTAGCAATATAAACTCAATTAAAAGCTGGGTGTAATTAGAACAACCATATAATCTCAGCACTTGGGAAGCAAAGGCAGGGGAATTTCAAAGCCAGTCTGGGCAATGCAATGAGACTCTTTCAAAACACTGATAGCAAAAAAAAAAAAAAGTAATTAAAATGCTATATCTGGTTAGAACTCCCTTATTTATGACATGAAGAAATATTAATTCCTGGTCACATATAACCACAGTATTTGGTTAATTCTGCGCTGGGGAGGGGGCAGGGATTGGAGCATACTCTCCTGGGATGCTAACTGAGCCATTTCCATATTCTGACCCAGTTCTTTTTCCCCAGGCTATGCGGCTCTAATACATCTTTGGCACAGAGAGCCTTTCCTCGATTTCTTCCCTCCCTCATGGACCACCTACGGACATAGCCTACCGCCAGAGACACCCAGATGTAAACACAGGTGTTCAGCACATCTGCACTATCGCACTGGATGGCAGTAATAGCCATATGGTTGGGGTAAGAGTAACACCATGCCTCTTCTTTAGAGCCAAGTTTATTTACAATTTTCAAAAAGAAATATGCAAATTTCAAGTAAATAAAAAGCCCACAGGGCTCCATTTCACTGTAAAATTGATCAGAGACATATGACCGTGTGGAGGACTTCCCACACGGAGATCTAAAGCCAGTGAAAAATGAAGATGGCTAAGTCCATGCCAAGGCATTTGCTAGGTGCACACAATAGTTAAAGTGAAGGTTAAAAAGAATATGAGTCAAAGGGATTCCTAAACCAAGAACCATGGCTAAGGAATTGCTCGAACAGCTCAGTATTGTGACAACCTTGCAAGATTTCAAGGTTTCAAGTCCTTTCTGTAGCTTTAAACATGAATTATCTCAAAGCTGGTGGTATTTATTGAAGCATGTCAGTCATCACTATACTGTCAGGATTTATTTATCAAATATTCCCCCCCCCCTTTTTTTTTGCATGGCCATTTAGTATATTTTGAAGCAGACGACTGGAAACAGGTTCCCCCACGGCTCTGGTGTTACCATAACAAACACTTGAACTTCAGCTTTTCATCCAACAGGTATTTATCTAGAGTGAAGCACACACAATCCCTTCCCTCGAGATGTTCAGGGCTGGGACAAAAAAGTAAACAAAGAGACAGTGCTCTGTTGACAGGCTGTGGCTACTGGTCTTTGGATGGCCAGCCTGGAGGACTGAATAACTGTCAAAGCGGGGTCTCTATGGTATACACAATGACAACCGGACTACTCCAGCCAGGACCTTGGAGTCTGTGAGTTAAACGACCAACTAATGGTTAGTTTCTACAGAAAAGGAGCGTTGAGAGATGGCACATTACTAAGCTGCATTGAGGGCTAGGTTGCCTGCTAACTATGGCCCCTTTCAAACTGACATGCCATGCAGTACTGAGTACTTAAGGTGTTGATGTAAGGCAAAACAGAAACATAAATTATCCAAGGAGCAGAGCAGAGTCTTCGAGTGTTTCCAAAGATTGTTTGGGAGAGGCTACGGAGGACCGCGTCAAAGTCCTTCTTAGTTCTAATGAAATCTGAAACAGTTTTGAAAGCATAAACCCACACAATGATTTGTAATTGCCTCAGCAGCTACTATTGCAATTTTAGGTTTAATGATTTTATTTTCTGGCAACCTCTGCACTACTGTTTGCTAGTTGGCTTAGAGTTTGGACCAGAAACTTGAGGGAGAAAAAAAAAAAAAAAAAGAAAAGAAAGAAAGAAAATTGTACCAGTGTTCTTTATAATAACAAAGGAGTCCCTTTCCTCTTCTGAGTGTTTCTGTTTCAGTAGTATGGTATATTTATTATTATTTTTTGATCCAGGAAAAATCTGTGAGTTCTCAAGGCCGAACATTCTGGCTTTGATGGCAGGACAGCCTAACCTGAGAAATGGCGTGTCACTGAGATCCAAAGGGTTTGGTTTCACTGTGAAAAGATGCATGACTGCCAGACATTTCTTCCAGTATTTCCTTAGGACCTCTGCTGCCAAGTCTCTCTTTCATGTTTAAAGAGTGTACCCTTGCTATTCAAGATGGATGGTTCTGGAAACACTTAGACATATCTTCTCACAAAAAGGAGAGAAAAATGAAGCCGCACTATATATTTTTTTAAATATTATGATCATATGTGCATTGGTGTTTTGCCAGCAGGTATGTCCACGTGAGGGATCCAGATCCCCTAGAATGGAGTTACAGATACTTGTGAGCTGCCATGTGGTGCTGGGAATTGAACTTGGGTCCTCTGGAAGAGCAACCAGTGCTCTTAACCTCTAAGCCAGCTCTTCAGCCTCTATACTACATCTCTTAATTCATAGTTATCTTACAACACCCCTTCCATGAATATACTGAATAAGTGCATAATTCAACACAGGAGGGTATTTGAGAAGTAATGGCTTAGGCTGTTGTTGGTCTTATTAAATGATGCTCTTGACCAACACCCTGCAGCTAGTTCTCTTTCCAGCCACAGCAACACAACCCCAAGCAGATCCCCGTTCTCTGTCTCCCCCATCATCCTCATGTACAGACCACTATCCTGCGTTACCTGGACTGCCACAGAAGGAAGCCACAGGGGAATGCTTGCGTTCAGCTGACCATTTCCAGAGCTACACAGCCCAGCCCACAGGCGGACAAATCCAAAGTTTAGGACTTCCGGGCTGTAGATTGGAGTCATTTCTACATTTTTGGGGTCTTGAGAGTTTGCAAGTCAATTTGTCTCTCATGCCCTTGGAACCCCAAAGCTCTGACCTCTGGGGTCCCTTAATATGGCAGGCACTCCTAGCTCGATGGAGTCCTTTGACTGAAGTCTTACTCCTGACCTGGTGCTGTCTTCAGATCCACTGAGGAGCCTCCACCACCATCTACAGTGAGCCTACCCCGCTGCACCTTCTTAACCCCGCTCCCCTTTCCTCTCATCCCAGCTTCCACTTTCTCTCTCCTCCTTCCTGATTCCCTTTCCTTTGCTCCTTTCCCCACCAATTCCTCTTCTCCTTCCCTCCTTTCTACCTTCCTCTCCTTTCTCCTTCTTTACCTTCTCGGCCCTCCCACTTCCCTCCCCTTTTGTAGGAAAGGCGGTCCATCCAGGGCTCGGCGCTCGGCTAGGCGGCGGATCGACGCGCTCGGCGCTCGCAGCGTGCGGAAGTGCGGCCCTCCGGCTGGCTGCTGCGGCCCGGAGCTGGGGCGGGTCGGCGGGGATCTGTAGCCCCGGCTGCAGGCAACGGAGGCTGGAGGTGAGTGTGGCGTCCTGGCCGAGAATGCCCCGGGTCTGGTGGGGAGCCGCGCGGCACGGGATCGTAGGGTCTGGGCGAGCTGGAAAGGCGCAGTGAGGAGCTCGGAGCGCGGGGCTGTGCGTGGGAGCCGCCGAGGAAGCCTAGGTTCAGCTCGCTCGCCGCGTCCGCCTCCGCGCAGGCCGCCGGGCTGGTTCCTGGGAGGAGCGGCCAGTGTGGACGGCTGGGCTTTTAATCTGCTGAAGACCTCTGCACTGCACTGACGCGGGTGGGAAGCTTCCGTGGTATCTTTACGACTCCGTGAGTCGACTTAGTGAAAGCAGCAAGTGCGTGTTTCTAAGTCAGCCACACCTCTATTAGGCCATTTGGTGCTCTATACTAAAAAGCTAAGGCCACCTGGGATCCCTCTACAAATGTATATTAAGTCTTTGTTTATAAAGCTTAGCGCGTGATGACCCCTGCTTGGTATCAGATTCAGTCAGTGAAGAAATTGAAAGTCAAAACAAGCATGACCTAAGTGTGAAAATTTAGGGATTTGCAAGGTCTAGGTAAAGACGCGAATGCAGGCTCGCTGCTTACATGTTCCCTTTTGTTTGACTCAGTAGACAGTATTTTAAAGTAGGGAAACGGAACATTCCCCCATCTGTTGGGAACAATTCTTGGAGTCGTTAGAAAGAGCCCCCCTTTTATTGTCAAGTATTTAATTTTCTGTACCAGACATTTTAAATTACCTTTCAAAGGGTGATAAATAAACCTCGTAGATTAAGTTCCAAACATTTTGTAAATGCAGTGTTATAATGTGGGGCTTCAACTTTTGCCACTTAAAACTTCTGAATTTCCATGATCTTACCTATGTAAGTATATAAAATGCATAGACAATGTAAGCATTCACTAACCGTATCAAATCATTTTATCTTAAAACAGTTTTTGAATACATGTAATTTTACCATTTATTAAAGATGAAAGTATAGTGCTGGATGTATTCATTTCTTTTTACATAAAGAATGCAGCCAGTGTGGTGGTGCATGCCTTTAATCCTAGCTCTTGGGATGCAGAGGCAGGTGGCTCTCTCTCAGTTTGAGGCCAGCCGGGTCTACAAAGTGAGATCCAGGACAGCTAGGGCTGTTACACAGAGAAACCCTTTCTCAACAAAAACAAACAAATAAAAGATTAAGTCTTGGTTAAATATTTGATACTACAGGAATATTGAGCATCTTCAGTGTTTTTCAGAGTCAATATCAAGAACATTGCTCGATATAAATATGTATGTAGACAAAATGGCACAAGTATAGTTAGGAGCATTTGGAAATTGTTAGAAGTTTGTCCTGACTCCCAAGCAGAAGTCACTGGTGATCTTTTAGAACATACAAATCAGCAGCTGAAGCAGCAGTTCTTCAGATGAAATTTCTCACACCACTCGAGTCAGAGACTCAGTCTTTTGATGATTACATGTTGAGGAATGCCAGTAGGAAGTATCTAGTCTTTGTTTTCTGTAATCAAAGCGTTTTCTTTCTTTAGGAGGAGAGCACTCTGTATATATAGCATGTTAGTGTTTTCATTGCCATAACCAAGGACCTGCCAGAAGATACTTAAGGGAGGAAGGGCTTTCTCTGGCTTCCAGTTTGGAGTTATACGGCCCATGCCAGAGAGGAAAGCATGGTCGCAGGCAGCTCCGTGGTGGCAAGACTGTGCCCTGGTCTTGGTGAAAAAGGAAGCAGACAGAAGTTAGGATGTGAGCTGGACTTGAAAAACCTCAAGTTCCTGACCCTAGTGACTCTCTTTCCCAACAGGGCTCTTCATCCTAAAGTCTTCAGAACTACCTAGAAGAGTGTTGGGAGGTGGGAAGAAAGTGTTCAAACATTTGAGCCCATAGGGTTTTGTATTCAAATAGTAACACACAGTGAAATCACAGCAATTCTTCACATAAAGTAAATTCGCTCTGAATTAAAGTGTTTCAATTAACACTCCTGGGTGTTTATTATACGCAGGCACAGAGAGAAGGTCAGAACAAAGGCTGGTGGGTGAAGTTGGATTGGGTTCTGCTAGTAGCAACACCTTGGATTCACAGTGGGTTTGATTTTTGAATTTATTTTTGATCCTGTGTTTTCAGAAGACTTTCATTTTGCCTTTTTTCTTTTTTCTCTTTCTTTCCCTTCCTTCCTTCCTTCCTTCCTTCCTTCCTTCCTTCCTTCCTTCCTTCCTTCCTTCCTTTCTTTCTTTCTTTTTGCTACCTCCACATTCAGTTATATGACCCTATGTGACTTACAAAATCGCCACCCACAGTTGAAGAATCTGCATTCTGGTACTAGACTTTGTATTGGATACAGTCCCTAAGTGTGTAGCAACAGCAGGAAATGCTGGCGATAGACTTGTCTCTCACTTAACTCTAGCACAGATTTTCTGGTATTATTTCTTTTGAGATGGTCTCGCTGTGTGCTCAGGCTGGTCTTGAACTCCTTGGCGCAAACGGTCCTTCCAGCACAGTTTCCTCAGTGCTAGGACACACCACCGTGCCTGGCTTTTCTTTACTCACCTCTGTTGGGCCCAGGTTCCTAGTGGTGTCTGTTGCATAGTGTGCACAGTGTGTTTGTAAATGTTTATCCCGTGGAGGGGTTTTAGGCTTATGTTGATAGTAGGCGATTTTGAGATTGGTTGGAGTGGGAAATAACATTGATATGATTACTAAGCAGTATCTGGAAGTGTTGAATGATTTTAAACTCTGGGAAGTGTGTGTGTGTGGACCCCCTGGATTGCCTGCAAAGCCGGGATGGTCGAGGCTGTTCACCATAATCAAACACTTTACAGTATATTTATTTTGATTAGAGGAATGATTGCCGATTGGTATGAGCCTACAAACTTGATATAATTGTAGAGACATTGTGAAATTTTGAAGTTGTGAATATACACGTTGGCCTTTTTGGTCTCAGTTTGGAAATTAGAGTCCAAGTTGTTTCAGTATAGGAGTAAAGGCAACCATTTATGGCTCCACACACTACCATCAGCAAGCTGCATCACCTCAGCTGCCTGACTCAGCAGCTTTGGGCCTTGGTTTCCCTTTTTTGTGTATTCAGAGACTATAGAAAACTTGATTATCTCAGCCATGAGTGACGGTGTATCCCTGTATAGTCAGTACTGGGGAGGCTAATGCAGAAGGATGCTGAGGAAAAGATCAGCCTGGGCTGCAGATGTTACCCTGTCTCAAAGCAAACATAAGCAAAATAGGCAAACAAGAACAGCAAGAGACATCACCTACTGGAGTATCTCAGTCTTTGAATCTAAAAATCCCCGCTCCCATGAGTCATGTTCCCACATTGTCACTCAGCATTTGTCTTACTCCTAGACCAGGGGCTGAGATTAAGGAAGCCCAACTGACACAGGCAGTAGTTCTGGTCATCCCTGTCCCCCCAATTCCAGCGTATGACCCAGGCATTCAAAATGACATCAGCCTGGATTAAGAAGGGCCATTTTTGTCCTCTCAAAAAAAAAAAAAAAAAGCTTGAACCACACTGTTGTCATGGGTTGGGTGTTCAGAGAAGAAAGGGTCTGGTGGGACAGAGTGAAAGGGGAAGGCCTGAGGACAAAGAGCCAAGGAAGGTCTGTGAGTGTGGGTGTAACTTGGACTGCCTCTGAGTGGCCAGTGAGCAGTCATGGGCCTCCCTCCTTGTTTCCCCCCCCTCCCTGCCTTCCCCTCTCCCACCTCCCCCATGCCTCTCTTCTTGCTTGCCTCTCTTCCCTTCCTCCCTCCCTTCCTTTTTTGAGGTCTTACTGTGCAGCTCCTTAGCCCTGGTTGGCCTGGACTGAGCAGGCTGGCCTCAAACTCAGAGATCCACCTGCCTCTGCCTCCCCAGTATTAGTGTTTAATGAATTTATAAAGGTCACTTTCAGTTTTAATGTGACTTTGGGAGTAATATAATTGCATTCATTATATTACAGTTTTACCGAGCGAGAAAGCAAGACAAATAGCCTGAGTTACTTGGCTGTGGTCTCATAATGGGAGCTCCATGTGAGTGACATGATGTATGTGTATATAAGTCAGGGGCTTTGCAGGAATCAGAACTCATGCCAGATGGTTCAAATGAGACTTAAATGACTATTTGGAGAGGCATGGCTATTTAAAAGATGGAGGGGCTCAAAGAGCAACAAATACCAGGAAGGTACCGAGGGAGGAAGTAGAGGCTGTTCAGGGCTGGAGGCAGGGAGGAGTACTGTTAAGGAATCTTCTAGATTACCACCCACTTTCTGATCTATTCAAAGTCTGTTTGAGCATTTTTTATGCTTTTCAAACTGCTTGTCCATTCACATCAACTCTTAATAGGTGATCTTTTTTTTAATTTATTTATTTCTTTATTAATTAGTTAAAGATTTCTGTCTCCTCCCCACCGCCGCCTCCCCTTTCCTTCCCCCTCCCCCAATCAAGTCCCCCTCCCTCGTCAGCCCAAAGAGCAATCAGGGTTCCCTGCCCTGTGGGAAGTCCAAGGACCACCCACCTCCATCCAGGTCTAGTAAGGTGAGCATCCAAACTGCCTAGGCTCCCACAAAACCAATAGGTGCAGTAGGATCAAAAACCCATTGCCATTGTTCTTGGGGTGTGATCTTGCCACCTGCTCCAGAAAAATAGGACTGTCTGAGTAGACTTCTGTGGTCCTTGTACTAAGACAGTCTCTTCTCCAGGTATAGACAGAGACACATCTCTGTGCCTGGCTCAGGAGCTCCTCTGCTGTCATTCTGGTCTTGCTAACACAACAGCTCTCTGCCCTTGAGCTTTGTGTATGCTTAGCAGTTGCAACAAGAAGGGCACCTGCAGAAGAAATCATCCCTCCCTTGTTCTCAGAATCTTGTTGTTCATTTGTTTTTGTACTTCTTCCCTTCGCAGCCATATTTTAAAAATAATTGCTGATATCCCCTTTTCTGTTCAGCTGTCCCACTGCCGTGACCCTTCTGAAGACCATGGTCCTTCTTGGCCTTCTGATTTTCTAATCCACTAGTCCACTGTGGTGCGCAGG